CTGTCATGGCGGTTGGTGATGTTGCGCAGCGTTTTGGGTCGGCAACGGCTTTGCGGGACAGGCAGGTACCTCGATGACATGTGGTCAGCTGGCCATGGCAACCAACAGGCCTTGGCAGGCAGAGCAAACAGAGACTGAGGCGGTTCTGCATGTTGAGAAGGGGCCTCGTTGAGAGCTTAGGAGAAAATCGAGCATGGCTGGCTTCATGCCTCCTCCATGTTCCTTCCACGCAACGGACTGGCACTCAGCCTGTGATGGGACGCCAGGCCTGTATCTGTGACACCATCGAGTGAGGTCCAAATCAAGATGTCCAAGTACACACAAGCTTGACACAAGAGGTTGGGCGATGACACCATTCTGCCATTCCTTCCTTCCTTCCTTCCTTCCACAATCACACACGACCCTGTCTTCCATGGGTTGCTGGCCACGACTTTGACTTGCGGCCAGGCTGTCAACCATTTGGGCAGGCGTGCGCGCCGACCCGGCCCCTTGTCACGGGGGTGTGGAGAGCACACGCACGATGTAGGTGAACCTGAGAATAGGATGGTGCAGTTGCGTCCTGCCCTGGCATGGCACTGGACGGGCGCTGTTCTCTGGCGGCACCCCTGACCGATTGCTCTGTGGGCTGTGCCCTATGCCGCGCCCGTCGGACCTTTTCGCTGTGCCTTTGAGGCCTCACGAGAGGCCCTCCCATGCCTCCCTCCCGCTGGCCTGTGTTGCAGTGGGATCACCTGCCACACCCGGTGCCCGGCATTGGCAACTGAGCGCTGCAGACTGGGCGTTGGCGCTACACGGTCCGTGGTGGGTTTGTGCAAGCATGCTGGCCCTGGAGCAGTGTCAGCCCTTTTCGGGCCGGCGTGAACCCCCTTTTCGAGTACCGTGGCCGCAACTTCCAAGGGACCCCCCCCCCCCCCCCCCAGGCCCCAGGCTATCAACCCCATTTTCTTGCTTCTGCCATCCGTCGACAGCGGGAGATGATCGGGTGTCTGACGTGCCATTCGGCCGCTCGCCACTGATGCAACGAGACGGTTGGCTGACATGTCGCTGTCGCATCTTTGTTGCATCGCTCGAAAGCTGACGTGTTGATGGCCACCACGGCATTGTAAGTGAGTCCACCCAGTCCAACGCAAAATACAGGTTGAACAAAGGGATGGGCCGTTTGACCGCCGGAAGCACATCTTTCCGAAGTACTTGGTGGTGCTGTGCCGTTCCTGAGCAGGCACCGATGAACAGCGCCGCAGGGCAGGCGAGCTGTCCGCCGGAGCGGACTTCCGTCCCATGAATGACAATAGCGAGTATCACTCGTTACTGCTCGGCAGAAGCGTAACGTGAACTGGAAGGGAGCAGCGACTCAGTCGTCATCGGCTTTCAGTTGCCGTGAGAGACTGACGATGTTGCTGTCGTGCCTGTAACGACGAGGCGTGGCCTGGAAAAGGGCCGGATGTCGTCCCTTAAAGCGCAGGCTATGATCCAGCTCCTGGAGGCTCTCGGCCTATGAGGCCGGAGACACGCCGCGATCGCCTTTGCGTTCTACGTCTCGCCCCATCGCAATCTGCAAAGGTGCAGCGTGTAACAGAACGAAGAAGTTCGGCTTGGTCGGTTGAGGAATGGGTCCCGGGCTTTGGGAGTATGCCGGCCATGTCGCAAACCAGCGGTCCAACCAGGACGGTGCGTCTACTCTTCATCGTTGCTAATTTGACAGCGGCTGGCAACGGCAAAGATACCAGCCTCCAGCTGCAGCGGATACCAGCCTCTAGCTGCGGCGGGATTTTGCCAGCAGGTACCAAACAGCAGTCTTTCGAGTGGCCAGTCGCTTCGACGTCCTCATCGGGATGGGACACATTCATCGAGTCGAACGACGCCCCTTCCATTTCGAGGCAAGTAGGTTCGATCCCAGGGTCCATCTTGGCTGTGCTGACGCCAGGTACCTGGTGGGTGTCCCAGACGGTTGACAGGCAAACAAGGACACGGAGCAGCAAGATGCGGATGCATAGCAGGAAGGATTCGCTCGCAAGCTTGTCATGATGAGAACCGTATCACGCCAAAACGCACCGTACCAAGCGATTTGGGTATCAGCGAACTGCCAAGTCTACGACGGACTTCACCCGAGAAGATGATGACGGTCGGTATTCCCAGTTCTCGCTGCCAAGAGGCCTTTCAGACCTGCCATCGACCTGTGAGGCCTGTCAACCCGCGCCGCCGCCTCCTCCTGAGGCGGGGCTTATTTGGCCTGAAGCGGTGGGCGCGGGGGGGGGGAGTCGGACGCATAAATTCCTTCAATCAGAGAATGGCGTGGGCTGAGGCACCCGACGGCTCGGGCTCGTGTTAGGGAGCACATGAAGCGATGTCAAGCAATATCCGGATAGCCAATCTGGGCCAGCGGGCTGCCTCTTCTGCCGTATAAAGGGTGTATCGTGCGCTTTCCTTCATCCTTCCATGCTGTGCCACAACGCCAGCCTGGGTCACGGATGTATTTTCGAGGAGCAATCATTTGCCTGCCACGGCACCTGCCTATTGCAGTTGCACGCAGGGGTCCATCGGTTGTCCCTGGGGGGTTCTCTGTCGAGTGGAGAAGAAAAGTCGAGAAGAGTTCCTAGCGCGTCTTTGAGGTGCTCATCGCCAAAACGGTAGGGGCCAGGGGCGGAGCAAGGGAGGGCGCAATCGCAGGCATATTGAGGCACAGGCTGTTGAAAGAGGGGGCCACTATTTGCCGGCGGAGTGCCCACGTTGCACCCCTGAGCGAGAAAAAAAATATACAGATCGAGAGCGACATGCGATAGAAGTCCTGTGCGTGGGTGTTGTGAGAGTCTAACCCGGTTCTGCCACGAAACCGTCAATAATAGGCAAGGTGAAGGTGCTGATGCTTCCCTCCGTCCCATCGTGGCTTTCCGGACGCATGTGGGCTGTGGGCGGGTGATGGCTTTGCAGTCTTGTCCGGAGCGTACGATCTCGGCAATGACTTCATTCGGATCGTGTTGGCGCGCCTTGTCCATTGTAAAGTACGAATCCATGTCCATATGGTATGGGAATTTGTGATAGCCCCGGCCGCCGTCGCCGCCTAGTCCCAGATCTGCCCCGGCAGTCCAGAGCGGCCAGCCATTCAGAGACAGTTTCGCTTTGTGAAGCCTATTCGGGCAAAGACTGGTCGACAAACAGTGGACCCAACATGGACCGGAGATCCGGAGTAAGAGGGTTAGTCAGGCCGTTGGTGCCAGGGTAGGTTAGAACCCCCAGCCTGGTACCTGATAGCCAAATACTGATAGCCATCACTCACCTGATGGACATCACCTTTGCTCGCTTCCACCAGAACGAGGCATTTGTTGCTGGTGCCATTTCGGCCTTCACAGGGCACGCAAGGCCCAAGTCGCCCCACGATCGACCTCCATGAATGCGGAGCCGTCGACAGTGCCGCCGCCTCCCTCCTGTTTGTAGTGTACAGTATACATGTAGTCCGCA